TCTTACTAAAACATTTGGCTCATCACAAAAAACAACTTTTAATCTGTTTGATATTTACAATAAAAAATACTTTCCTTTTACTTCTAATTTAACGCTGCATTTGCTTCTTTTGTAACTGGCCTGTCGATTTAAAAATAAACAATTGGCGTCGTGTAATATTACAAATTCGAATGTTACTCGAAAAATTTACATTTAAACGAGTTTTATATTTTTATAATTTATTAATTATAGAACGTTGAATTCATTCATTTTTCACGCGAGCATAGAATTTCATAAACTACCCATTACATAATAAATGAAAATTTGCATTCGGTTTAAAATGATTTAATATCCGTATGTACAAGTCATGTAATTACTGCTTGCAATATTTTTTTTCATTTAAATTTCATTTTTTTCCGGATTTTTTAAGGTTTTTTAATAACGTCTAACAGATATTTGTGTGCGAAAACGTGCGGAAGTTAATAATTATCGAAAATGTGTATTTGCTAGAAACTAATGCAAACTGTAAAACACCACAAAAACAAATAATAGGAATGTCCCATCCAGCCAAATCAACGATCTACTTAGCTAACTTTACTAGATTTTTTATATTTTATTTAAAAAATTACATGAATTTGCGATGTATGTTGCAGTGAAGTTCTTAATAAATCAATGTCGAACCATACAACAACACAAATGTTATAGATAATATTAGTATTTCGTACAATACAATCATTTATAAAATTCAAACAAATATTTAATGTCTAGCGTAATTATCTACATACGTGTAAGAAATAAATCGGGAAACATAGAGTATCGTTAAATTTTATTACACTTAATTTAAGTTGTTGTTAACTAAATTAATAACTCACCGAAAACTCTATGTGATCAGTCCTTTGGTGAGACGCGAACCCACAACTAACGAAGAAATTTCAGAGGTCGTGGGTTAAGTGACAATCAATTAATCAGTTTATATCAGATGAATTAGAATATGTGTTCTGTACATAACGATACATCCAACGAGTACACAGTTGTGTATAACAGCAAATTAGTGATTACCAAATGAGAATGCAACACTTGACAAATCGATAAGTTTTGCATTAAATGAAACAATACTTACAAGAATTTATATCAGATCAATCGCAATACATAACACTTACATTCTTTCGAGGAAATCCAATACAAAATCCCAGAAAGTGATATGAATAAAATACAAATTTTCATTTCCTTTATAGTCTGATAAAACATGAATTTTTCTTTTTCAAATGTCAGCGTTATAACAATGTATTGTGTTTACTGCCATTGTCGCAATGGAAACAAAATTCAATTTTTAGTTAAATTTTTTAAATCACAATAAACATTCTTACACATACATCAATAAAATAATATTTGAAGAAGCAATGAATGCATTTTTTTCTGAGTAAAAAACATGATGTATAGTTTCGTGTCCAAACTTTACCAGTGCCACAAAAACGACAAAATTAGATCAAATAGAAGTTAATTAATTAATACTATTAGGCTGTCGGTTCTTATAACAGAAATAAAAAGTACAGTACTATTTTTACATTTACACCTGATGGTAACTACGGTTCAAGTGAAATTTATTGATAAACTTATATTTTTAATGTAATTTCACCTTACGTTTTTCTGTTTCGAGTGAAGGCCTATGTAGCCTATTCACATCTTTGCTGCTGTTTTTAAAGCCAATTGTACAGATATTTTGTAACAGTTTTCTTTTTAAAATGTTAGTCACTATTATTTAAAATTATATATACCATTATATTAGGTTTAATTTTATCAATCTTTTACAACAGAACTGTAATTAAAATTTTATAAAGTTTAACTAATCGATAGTATAATAGAAAAACGTTCATATATTCTAACAAAATAAATTAAACAAAAACACTGTGAATTTTTACATAATTTTTACATTTATTTCTAATAAACTTCTGTAAGAAAATTATTCCAATCAACAAATAACACAAATCACTTAAATAAATACTACGAATTTATTTAGCATTGATTTGTGCAAATGTCAGAATCAATTTCTGCTTTTTCTTATTAAAATTACAGATATAAAAATTTTTAAAATTGCTATTACTTTAGTTATTTTAGTTTCCCTTTTCTAAACTTCGCTTATTTACTGAAAATAATTTCTAATTATTTTCAATAAATTAATAATTCATCGATCGTAGATGACACAATTTTAATTTGTTTCTTCGTGACAGAAAAGTGTCGTGACGACTTTAACCTTAATATTTTATATACAGAGTAAAGTTTACAAAATTCTTTAGTTTCATTAGTTCGAATAACGATTTCTCGATAATAATTTTATACATTTCAAAATGACAGTCAATGTTAGTGTTGCTATTCTTATTAGAATAGCTGACATTTGCTCACCAAAAAGTAAGAATTCGATATTTTTTATTCTCTATTTAGTAAATGTTTATAAACCATAAACAATTGTTTTAATCAAAATTATAACTGTTATTTCCTTAATAATACATTTTCTTGTTAGTAATATGAAAATACATATTTAAAAAGTAATGAAGAGCATTACAGACTCAAAATTAACTTTATTTCACAGAAAAATTTCTTTCAAACTAAATACGAATTTTAATTTACAAACTTTAATTAAATAACTAATCTTTATTCTTATTTATAGTATATCGAATTGTTTACGCGTCATAAGTAATTAAAATAATTTAATTTATTTATTACAAAAAGGCTACACGCAATGTTTAATCACAGTATTTATTCATCTGTTTTGAATACAGATACAAATTCGAATATTCAATTCGTGGAAAATATGATAAGATTGTACACGTATAGAAAAAAGTAGGTCAAGTACTGTACATTTTAGTTTATAGATGTAATAAATAGCAGAAATATTTCTAATTTTAATTCTTTGCAGGTGCTGTTTGTAAGGTAAATGGAATAGTGGGGTCGAGGCTATTACACTACACAAGTAATATTACTTCATATTTTTTATTATTAAGCGTTCTTTTTGATCATGTTCATAAAATAAAACTGGAAATTAATTTTGAAAAGTTTTATTTAATTAATGCGGTTATAAAGCATTTAGATAATTAATCAATAATAAATCATTCTATTTCACTTATATGTTGCCCCTAACACCTGGATTATTTAGTAACTATAAATTGTTTTTATAAACATTTTTGCCGCAATCTTGACAGAAGAATTTTGTTATACTCTGGTTTTCTTGTACAAAAAAGTGATCGATCTAATAATACAATTGTTTGAACTCGATGTACTGATTATATTCTACAATTTTTATAATATTTGACACGAATTAAATGTCATAATTAGTTTTATACAAGTTTTTTTTTGTATTGGTTATTATTTTTCTAGCTATTAGGCCTATACATAACAGAGGGATCAGTCAAAAGCTGAATCTTTGAAAATTCAATTAAGAAATAGAATAATTTGTTTTTTTATTTCTTTATGGAATGTCTTATGCAAACTACATGTCCATACTCATAATTTTGATAACCCTTATTTGATCTAGTAATATGAGAGAAAATGACAAAGCTGCTGGTTATTAAGTCATACTGTTGACAAGTACTTCATATATTGCCATTTCTATTTCAGTTTTTATCTATTTTTTATCGCACTTTTTTCCACTTTTCTCTAAATAGTGAAGAAATAAAACTACGGCCATTTCCTTAAATATTATTTTTGGTAGGTGCTAGACGATAGCCCCGTAATCATATTTTCGAAATTATTTTTTTGTCTACAGTTTTATTGTAAATCTAATTCAATTTTCCTTAACTTAATATCACCACAGACAAAATACATTTTTATTTATTATCCCAAACTTGAATTAAATCTATAAATATAAGTTTTGACTCACTAAATACAAACGAGCACCTTTTCTGGCTAGCATTTTCCAGAACCCTGGTAAACAAAGTAATCCCCAATGTATACGACCTGTGATGATGATAGTTTTCTGCCTATTTCTGTAAAATTCTGCTTTTTAATTACAGTAACGAATAACTAGTCATGGTCGATACTGTAAAACAGTCGGGACTGTGCAACCCTTCCCTAATACTTTGAACCTAATTTATAATTAAAGACAATTGAACATTTGTGCCATAATATTAAAATTGTAAAAGTTTTACGAAAAGTCAGCAAAGTAATTTATAAAAAAAAACTATTCAGAAAACACGTTAGCTAACATTTAAAAATACAAATTAATAAGTTCGATTTGAACGAAGGTTACCATAGACACATTTACTGTATACATAAACAACTGCAGAATGTTATTACTATGTGTGCAAAAGGAAAGTTTGTGAGTTAGCCTGAGGTGAGTACATCGTGAGGTTGTACATTCTTGTAGATATCACGAATTTTGTGTATATTTCATGACACTTGTTAGCACTGCGAACAAAACTGATCTATTTTTGTTTTTCAGAGTAAATATTTATATAAAGTATGGTTTAAAAATATTTGTTTGAAGTATAATAAATTTTGAAAATACGTGTATTTTCAGACAACGATTAATTTCCAACAAGTAGACAGTGTAACATATACCGAACAGAAGAATTGTTGGCCGTATATTCTCTCGAAAATGAAATTCCTTTTCCTCTTCATCTCATTTTTTGGGAGTTTCAACTACATTACTTCAAATGAAAGTAAGTTCTGAAATTTCAGTAAATATGATATTAGATCATAATATTTTATATAATGTTTATTCTAACCAATATTAGTCGCTAGAATCGGACATAGCTTTAGTAGTGTGACATCTGAATGCTATCATGCAAATTGCTATGCAGACTGACGGCAAATCTTTTTAAATTCCAGAGTAACGTGTTATGTTTGAATGTGTGGGTAAGAAAAGTTATTTACTTTCTGGAGATAGAGAGAAAGGATAAACCTTGCTCCACTCGGTAAATGTGAATATAGCAATAATTGATTTATTCCATACTGATAAATGCTGTTATTGAAATATACCAGACTGTTTGTTATTAGATTCGGTTACTTTAATTTTATTTTTAATATTAATATGAAATATTAATTCGTTTAGGACCAGTTATTTTGGCCTTTGATTTTCGAGACTGGGTGATTCGAAAGTCCAGAATGAGTGGCAGATGTTGGGGGCCAATGTTGTTTGATGGGATAACTTTGGCATTTATATCAAGGTTCAAATCATAGCGTTTGATCAACCAGTAGGCGACTTGAGTTGCATGGTGAACACTGATGTAAGTGGCTAGATGTGTGAGCCTCTTTATGAAGAATGTGTTGGCAATAGCAAAATCATGTGCTTCAGCGCAATCCAGGATGCGGCAGCCATCCACATTTCGTTTGCCAAGTCCGTGACCTCTATGACATAGTGCATATCCCTGCTTAGAAGACCCCACATATCCACTTAGGTTGCCATCGATTAGGACATAATCTTCTGGTGCAAATGTCTGAAGGTGCTCATCAAGTCCAACCCAGAAATCATATTGCTCTGCAACAGGGCATCTAGTTTTGGGGCATAACATGATATGACATGCATGATGATCGAGTCATAGCTGAAGGTGACAGATATTATGCGATCAGAGATTTGATTGACAGCAGTGACACAGTCCCGGAATATCTGGTTGACTGCTATTGCAACTTCATTTTGTTTTGTATTTTGACCATGATAGATTAATTTGTATCCCTCACCAATATCCGTTGATTTGGAGCCTGTCCATTTTGTTTCCGGCGGGCAGGCTATAGCGATATGGCGGTTGTTCAGGGTTTCGACCAGTTGTCAACTTCGACCGATCATTGTTCTGATATTGAGTGAGACTAATCGAAAAGGACATTGGACTTGCTTCTTTAACCTGTTCCGTCCTTGAATAAATAGCCCTTGTTCATTTCTCATGTTCTCAGGCATCGGCATCCTACACGGTAGCCCTAGCTCTATTTCGAAATCCGTATAGTAGCATTTGAAGAAATGCGACGAAAGATACTCCAACCTGCTAGTCTCAGAGTCTGTCATTGGAAACCAGAGCCATCTTTAGCCAAGGGTTTCGGGCCTTGTTGCCAGTTGGCGCTACGTGGAGATTGATGGTTGGATTTTGCCGATCTGGGCGTTAATTTTTTAATTATTATAAAATGGCAAAAAGTATAATGTTGAAAACATGGATAAATTTTATAAAAGATTGTAAATGGTTTTTTTCAACTCTTTTCCTCCCTGTGGGCACTAAGAGGGCCTATTTTTGCATGCCCATTATGGGTTTGGCCAGGCCCACATCGGCGCAGCCAAGAGGTGAAGGGACAGGGGCCCGATATATCGAACGGACCACCCCCCGAAAAGTTCCTGGGGATTATTTGACCCATTCGAATTCGATCCCGGGTCACGTAGATCAGGAGACTGCAACCTTGATTGCTCGGACATCAGGCCGCTAGATTTTAAATGGTAATAATGTGTAACATCGTCTATACTTTAATTCTTATTTCCAGTTTCTTATAAGCCTTATTCACTGCAAAAACAGCGCATAGCAAAGGCAAAGGCGGTATGTACACTTTGTTTTGCTGTTGTTATTAGGTTTCTTTTTTCTTGCCATCTAATGTTTTTATACCGACAGTAGACCAACTAGTTTTGTCTATATGGAGTTGATCGAGTGACTAACTCACCCACGTTAAAAAGCGATTTAAATTTTAGTACTGTTAAATATAAAATGTTAACAGAATTTTTTATATATTATATTTAAATTCTCAACTGCATGTAGAAATTTGCAATCTGTTATGTTTTCGGTCTAATGAAGAATTAACAAAGAAGAAACATTAGTACCTGTACATCAATATGTTTTCGTATTTTGTATATGACAATTATCTATAATTATTTTTTTAAGTATGCATATTATCTTACGAAAAACAATGTAAATAAAATGCATGTTTAAAATATAGGTTAAAAATCAGAGACTCGAAATTGTGATGCATTCTATTAAATATGAAAGTAATTAAAATAAACGCAAACAATTTTAAGAGCAACAAAGCAATTTTATTACTTTATACCTTAATAACAAACATTTTTATTAGGAGAGTCCAACCATTCTTACGTTTGGAGAGTAGCAGGATACCGAGTAAATATTTTTTTACCTTATCAATGAATCATAATGAATAGACAAAGGCTTATAAATAATCTTATAATTTTTTTTTCAGTATCCGAAATTTATGTCATATGACAAAACCGAAACACAGATAACAAGTGGAGCGTTTTTTCCTCTTTTTAATGTAATCCACGAAAAACTAAAATTCAGGTATGTTGAAAACTATAAGCGGTGCTAACTAACATATATTACTTTTGCTCATAATAATTTAATTATCCACAACGTCTTTCTTTATAATTGTTATATAGCATTTCTACCTTTTTTTAATTAAAAATGTAGTTTTAATATAGTTTGTTAAAAACTTTAAAAATGAAAAAAGATTTGTGCTGTGCCTTTTTTCATTTGAAGAGTAAGAAACGTGAAGAATTTCAAACATTTTAAATTCGCTAATTCATCCATTGACATGCATGACGCATTTCAAGCTTTTGCTCCTCTTGTCTGTTTCTTTTAAACTCTCATAGACATTGTTCAAAATTATGTATAATTCGAATTTCAATGTTACACAACAAATAAACTTATGATATTCTTCTGTCTTGACCACGTGCATCGTACCGAAGTTTACGAAAAATATATTTATTTCTGAAAAATATTATCTTCAGAAATAAATTACCGTGTCTATAATATGCTTTGTTATATAGAAGAACAACGATTATGTTAACCACTGGCAATAGATATAAACTTCTATATTTTTTAGTGATGTGTGTTGATAGCATAACACTATATTGCATGCTATTGTATTTTATGTTGAGTTCAAATTCTAGAGAACACAATATAAAATAAAGTGTGACGTGACTCTGTACAAAAATTTTTTGAAAATATGCATTGTAATTTGTAAAAATTTTATCTATGAAAACGACGTTATTTACTAAATTTATTAATCACTATTGAATATTGTTACAAATTAAAGGGCAAATAGAAAATAAAATAATTTCGTTACACTATAACTACGAAAGGTTTATGATGAGATCTAAGTATTTTAGGCATAATATATTTCTGAATTAGAGAACTAATTGAAAATTAAATGTAACAATAGAAGTTTTTATGTGTGTTTACGTACTTAATTAATTAATCACGTTGATTAAATTAAATGTAAAAGCTTTAATACAAAGGCGTGTTTATACATTTCGCACATGAATTACATAAGTATTCCATGTTCGAAAAACTAGAAACAGTTCGCACTACAAATACCACTCGGCGATAATTCATCGCCGAAATAAAATAGTAAAATATAAAAAAAAAATAATTAATATAAGAAGAAAAGTGCTTGCATGAATGTTGCATTAGACAGACAAGAAAGTACACGCAACTTACGTGCGAGAATAGCAAGAACAATTATATGAGACTCAGGTAAAAAATTAAATAATATATCAGTTCAGTTCAATTGTGAGAAATGTACTGAAAAAGGAAGCAAATAGGAAAACACAAGTAACTGCTATCGAATATAAATGAAACTTATTGAAAGAAAATAAATAGACGATAAGGAGAAAATGGTATAAAAAAATAAACAAGTGACACTTCCACAACACAAATAGCATAAAAATACGAAGTTATACACCAGATATAGAATGATGACAAGAAAGTAATCTATATCTATCTATATATATATACATATATGGACGTGTGTGTGTCCCTATATTTCACTTTTCCGCAAAAACTACACATCGCACATGAATGCTGTTTGTATGTGGTGGTAGCCCCAAGTCTCCATTCGTGCACTATGGGGGTTGCGTCTCGATAGCTATAAGGGTGCGGGAAATATGGGGCTGAAAATGGTTGAAAGTGGTTTTCTATTTCGAATGTTATGTTCAAATTTGTTCGAATTTTTTCGAATTTGTTCGAATCCAATTCGAACAATATTCGAATTTAAATTCAAACATAAAATTCGAATATTGGTTTGTTTATAAAACGATTGTAAACGTTCCAGAAACGTTGAAAATAGTTCGATTGACTGGACGTGAACAGGAGACGTTCAGAAATAGAATCGAAACCACGTCTCTAATTAGTCTGAAAACAGGGAACCCAATTCTTACAGTGAAAACGGGTAAGATTGGCTATAATGTAATTATCTTAATCTTCACTATCGTTACTTTTTGCCCACAAATAAAAACCCAGAGAAGCGGTTCCTTGCAGCTAGTATCGATATAAAAAGCAAAGACGATGGTTGGGAAACATAAATACGCATGAACAGTTGTTTAAATTATTTTTATGTGAAAAATAAGTTGACTTACTTCATGTCCATAAATAATAAACTTTCAGTCGAAAAATTAAAAGATTTGAAAATATGTAAGTTGTTTATGAAAACACACGATAAGCAGAAATAAAGGCTCATAACAAGAAGAAAAAACAATTACAAATATTCAATACAACCTCTGATAGAAGATAATAAAAATATTGTAACAATAAAACAGTTTACTTTGCAGTTTTTTTGTTAATCAAAAGTTAAAATAAGCTTTTGATTTTCTTTCAAGCAACACATTCCAACATTAAATTTAATTTTATTGTGATTAAATATTATGTTATATGAATAATATACATTTTAATTTAATGTATATACTAAAAAATATTGATAAATTTTCTTACTGTTTTGTAATATAACTTTTTCTGTATATCTAAGCTTAATTTTACAATTTAATTAGATGTTTTGTAGTGCACCCGATTGACAATCATATAGGATATATAAATGAGAATGGTACATGGATTGGAATTACAGGAAAAGTTGCAAATCAGGTGAGTACACACAAAAAAGAAATAAAAGGTAATGTGTTAAACGATATTTGCAGACACACTAAATAATGTTATTTATTGAAAATAATACAAAAACACCAACACATTATTCTGAAAAACATTACTTGTTCAACTAAGAAATTTCTTCCCACTCAAAACACAATTAATTACTGCAATGAACAATTAAGTAAGTAGTAAAAACTTATTGCATTTCACTAAAGTATTAATGTACCCGCATCATGGGCTCTGCCTAGTATGCTTAACTAAATAATTAAATAAATTATGTATAAATCATATTTTTCGATTTATGCGAATAATTCATATTTATGTTTAAAAAAGGTGAAAAATCGTTGTTAACAACATTATACAAATTTTCATTCATATTTAAGTGAACTCTTATTTCTACAATAATAGAAAAAATGTAATACTTCTTGAGACCATAAGCATTTTCTAACTACCAGAAAAATTGTATGATGTATTATAATGTAATTATAAATTTAATTGAAGTTCATCCTTCATTATTTTATGAATTTAGGAAGCGGATGTGGCTTTTGTACCATTAGCGATTACATACGATCGCTTCTCTGCGATGCAATTTACATCTGCATTTTTATTTCATCCAACAATTTTTATTATTAAAGTTCCAAATAAGGTTTCTGATTGGAGTTCACTAATGA